GTCACCGCATAGTAAGCGCACGGTCCAGAGGTGAAATCAATATCGAATCTCACCAAGGTCCTTTATCCTTCCCAAATTCGATTGTTTACAGCCAGATTTGTCTGGGGATAAAACACTGACCTGCATAATGCAGCCCCGCTAGTCACGGTGTAAGCTTTCAATACCACTACGATCCTAAATGGAAGCAGAATGCGCGACGCACCCTAGGAAGGGGCTGATCAACGCCAGAAGCTTCATTCCTTATCCTATATAAAGAGAGGAACCAAAATGTGAACAATCCCAGATAGAAATTCGAAAATGTGAATTTGCGATGCCAAAAAATGGAGAAGAACATTTCGCAACCTATTCCCTATTTTCTCGCTCGTCACACGATCATACAAAGAAAATATTGTCTCGTGAGTTTCAACTTACAGAAGGTCGCCGCGACACTCATTCATGACGTCAATCGCTTTCTTTTGCTCTTCGTCGTCGAAAAGCCACAGAACACACACTGTGATATGCATTTTGATGGGTGATGTGAAAAGTTCCGCATTTCGAGACTCCTCCTTGAAAACAAAGAATTTGAGAGTTCCGTAGGTAGGAATAAAACTAGAGGCATTCTACTACTTTACTATGCAGCCTCTAGATGTCATAATATAACTTTCTTGTACAACTAACCGGAACTCTTGGATTATTCATAACAGCCTCTTTGAATAGTTCGAAAGACTGAACAATTTCCGGCTGCGCACATGGAACAGCGACAAAGTGGGTGACCGGAGCCTGAAATGCATTTTTTGGAACGAAAAATCGAGGGATTTTTAAGCGGTCCAATTTCTGAATAGCACATTCAAAAAACAGGGGTAGAAGTCCAGTCACAAAAGCAACTGAAATTTAATATAGAAATCGCTACACTCTCTAACCACAAGCAATCAGAGCGGAATGAAGTGGAGAAAAGGGAGAAAGGGGTAGAGAACATAGGAGAGCAAAAGCGAAAGACACATTAGTGGTTAAAGGCAATCGACAGATAAATACCACAATGAAAAAAAAAGAGGCTAGGAAAAATGCCACAAAAGGATAAGTAGGGTGCTAGATCAACAGCAAAACAGGCTGAGTTGATTGTGAAACAAAATGGAGCCACCTTTCCACCCAAACTTGCGCTCATTATGACTTCTTTCCCATAAAAAGTCATCCGGGTCACTTAAAGCATCAATTTGCCAGGCATAGGGCGAAGGAACACCCTCGCCTTTGGAACATGCAAAGATTAGGCTGGTGGCAATTCACAACCCGTCGCGCGATACACGTAAATTGCGCGACGGATAGCAGACTCTGACACCAGCCTAACTCCGTTCATTAAATACATAAAGTTGCGCGAAGCAAAAGGATTCGCCATAAAATAAACCGGGGATACATCGGCAAAACAAAGAAATGAAAGACACTTACCAGACAAGAAGTGGAACTTCACATGAGTTTTTCTTCAATACAAAAAAAGCTCACCGTTTTTCTCGCCTCAGCTACAAGAAGCTCTATTCGATCCAAGCAACGTTGTACATTCTCGAGACCAACGAATGATTTGATTTCTCAAAATAGAAATCGATTTCAAATTATTCTATTTTCAAGAAAGGCCGAACTGCTTTTTCTAATTCCCGTTACCAACATTTCCCTTCTGTCCTTTCCGAGGGATCGTCAAGCGACATTCCGTGGACTCTTCCAGTTCACGCCTGGTAGTTCCCCGAGTACCAATTAATTTCCCATAGAACGCACTGGGTACGTAGATTCTAAAAGACACGCTTTGAAGCGGTGGTTAAAGAAGGATTTTGAATTCAATTCCTAAACCGACCTTGCGAAGTACACAACTTCTAACCCTTCATTATTTGTAATATTATTTTATAAGTACTCCTTCAATGAGGATAAATCATGGCTGAAAAAAACTCTTCCTACAAATCTCACTTCTTCTCAAAGAGATGAAAATGATCCGCCCACGCAACATTACTGGATTGCAATGTAAAAGCCATCGCCTTCCAAATTAATCTAGTACCAATTCACCAGTGCCAAGGGGAACACCTTGTCATTCTAGCCGATAATTCAGCCCTTCGGAACAAGGGCGTGGTAAGCGGCGCCGCTTGCCAATACACCACTCCAATATTCGGACCACCAGCTTCTCACCTTTTCGCCTACACAAAGTCTAAATACTTGCCAAAGAACTTACTCCGCAGTGTATTTCCCTCCGTCAAAAGAGACTCTCGGATCACTGTCGCACAAATTCTGGCCAGGAACCGCCGTTACTGCGTCATCGCCGGACAACTGCCGTTCTCGTTTCGCAGGGAACAACTTAACAAAAACGCTAAACACATTGGATAAACACTCATAGTGTATCAAGAGCAATATTGGAGGCGCAAGATTGAATTGAGCTCACATATTCTCTCTCATAGGCAGGTGTTAGACTACGGACATCGCGCGATCGCCAGTGTCGCACGCGCCGCAACGCGAGTCGGTTCCCGTTGGTCAGCCAGTCCGAAACACCAAAACAGGCCGCACTACGACGCATGCGCAGCACTCTGCTAGTAATGGTAGTGTTGCTTGCATTATGCAATTTGCGCGCCGGTTGTAATGTCTGACACCTGCCTTACAGGAAAGATGAGGTGACCATAATGCAATCCCTACTCAAAGATGATGCGGACGGCTCGATTAAAATTGGCCACAATAGATGATCCAATACATTCATGACACCAACAATCAAGCAGGCAAGCAAGAAATCTCTCCTAAAAACGAGAAAATTGACTCACCATCTACGCAGGATGGTCCATCGTCCTCAAATTCATCTGCATACACATCAGGAGTATCCCCAGTGTCTTCGGCTCGATTGGTGTTGGCCCTTTTGTATTCATTTCGACGATACACACGATTTCCTATCTTGTAGGTCTCAGCGTACAACGGAAACGATGTCATCCGAACTGTTCGTATAGGAGTGGAAGCTGGCACAGCTCCCACCAACCAGATATCTTGAAAAGCTTAAATATTTGAAAAAAAATTGACGGGATTCCAAAACTTGAAATCAAAGCTCGAAGCGCGGCTGCAAACTAAAGTCTTTCATCGAGAATCCTAATATAGTGATGCTTCCAACTTGGAAAGCCTGCAGCTTGATATAAAATCGTAGAAAAACAAACATACAAACAAACAAAAACAACACAACGAACACACACGTAAAAAACTTACATGACACATAAAAAACATAAACAACCAATAAGAGAACTAAAGAAGAAACATGTGATTCAACCCAATATTGGGGTGCGCCCCACGTCGACTTCAATCCAAAATTGGCATTTTGGTTGATATGACCTATAGGACGTCTTTCAAGGGCCAGCCGATGCGCCAATCATTCGGTCTTTCCAGATGTGTCCAGCTACTTCAGCAATAGAACATTTATGCTATAATAGCCGTGATTCGTATCGGAAATTTGAATCCCGAACCGGACACTTCCCATTACTAACCTCGCCCTAGCGCCTCATCGAGGAGGACACGGCAGTTCATAGCTTCCATTCGAGGAGCTATTTCCATAAAATTCAGCGCCTTTTTCACACCCAGAATAAGATAGCGGCAACCCGCTTGGACGTTTTGGGATGGGACAAGCTCATGCACCGAATCATAATTTCCAGATCTGGGGGGGGGGGTGCTTGACCAAGATCTTGCACATCTTTGCTCGTCACGAAAAGCCAATAAAACAACTAAATTCTTTCAAACAGAGATATTCCTCGTCGAAACGTCAACCGTATTAGAACGCATTCACCATTAGTTCACAAAGTTTATTAGCATGAGCATTTTCACAAAGTACAATCACAGTCTGAAAAGCAGTCTCACTGAAAAGAACGTCAGATAGGTAGATATGGTAAGAGAAGAATGACAATGTTTGAAAAACTGCCAAGGAATGATTATTGCACTTGATCTCCACAAACAACAACTGCCCCTAAGCAAAAGTAATAACATTCAACCAGTCAAATCAACAAAACATGGAATCAGACGCCTAGCTGAACTATAATACATAACTGAGCGAATAGGGTACTTCAAGCAGAAAAAAAGTTTTGGCTGCAACCACCTACAAATCGGCTGCTACATTTGCAATCG